TCTTTGGTCAAGATTGACAAGTTTTTTCATAACGAACTGAACACAGACCTTCCATCCAAACTTAACTTAATGTTAATAATAAATAATAAATAATAATAATAATAATAATAATAATAAAATTAATAATAATTATTTATTTTACATTATACTAATTACTTGTATATTACAGGCACATTACAAGAAAGCCACTACTTTAAAAAAAAAAATAAGCAATTATGATTCATGTATTTCATACCTTAATCCTACATCATCACAAAATCCTAAACTTATTGATGTAATGAATGCCATTAAAAAGAGAAGAATATATTACTATTGATGATTCCAAATAGATAGTGAAATGGTAATAAAAGAAGAAATAATTGCCTCTTTCAATCAAAGGAATTATTGAGAGCAACTCTATACCTAAAGTTTCAACAAAATATGCTGCAATTGCTTTTGGGACAGCTTTTAATTTCCTTCGACAAGATGATATAGAAATAGATTATAAAGAATTTAAAGCTTTCAAGCCATTGAAAAGAAATGTGATAATGAAAAATTAATACAGCCAAATATCACGTCTTATTTTCAATAATAATTTTAATTTCTACATGTATTTATAAAATAACCAATCTTCTGGTCTCATGACTATAGTGTGAGAAGACTAAATTGTGAATTACATTTTTTGAAGTTAATTTAAGAAACGATCTAGAAATTCAACCAGCATAAAAAGGTTTTTAATGACTTCAGGTCCTCGCTTGAAAAAGCAATACCATGTTAATGAACTCTACAGAGTTTACAGAGTGAATGTTAGTTATCCTTTTAAAATAACATAATTCTTAAAAGTCATAAATAACTTTAGAAAATAAAACAATGTTTTTATTTTATTTTATTTTTGTTTAAAGCAAAACGCTTTGGTCAATTGTGAGGCTTTGATATTTTATTTGCTTTAGTGAGTAAACAAACTGTTAAGCGAGGTTTCAATCGGTCCAAATAGATACAAACAAGTGTAAACAACTGAAATAAATCGGTCACGGCTTTGTAAAAGAGCCATCTCTATTTATTAACAGTTATCCTGTACCATCAAGTGTGCTTACAGATTTGCCAAAGCATTCTAAATAAAGGAAAGAGGTATTAGGCGAGAATCAAAGCAAATTAATAAACCAATTAATTAACAAGCTCCAAGTTATTGTAGCCCAAAAGTTAAGCCGTAATCGACGTTAACAAAAAGCTACCTTGCACCAGTAACGTCACACTTTTACTTTGTTTTGGTGAGGTTAAAACCCTCACAAAAAACATAGATATATATCCCAAGATCTTCTCTCCATTTTGGCACCGAGAAAACAGCATTTGTTATTGAGAAATCACCTTTAAAAGACAATGGATAAATTCTCACTAATGTATACGTTTCATTAATATCGTGACTGATTGCTTATTTTTTTAATAGAACCGTGACCAAGTAAAGTGAAGGAAAAGTGTAATGGTAGAAACAGTGTTATTGTAATGTAATTGTTACTAATTTTTTTTTATAATAAATTTTTATTACTGTTCCAAAAATTTTTGATTAGACACACTCATTATATAAAGAAAATAAGCAGGGATACCTGAAAAATAGTTATCTGAGTTGATTGGATATGATTCCAATGGGTCTGGGACACCCACTTTACCAACAAGACACTTTACCAACAATCAAAGTAAAATCGAACTTGACATAGAAATGGTCTTGCGAGGAACACCACAACCTCCACAGAAACCACAAGATCGTAATCGCGAAATACGGATTCAAACAGTATTAAATGACCGTAACATTAAATCAACTATAGAGTTTCTTCGGGGCATTTCCCATAATATTTCATTTTAAAAATTTTTTTTGTAAATGATTGATAAATAAATTTAATAAAAACAATCAAAAATAACATGAATATGCAATTTTTATCAATTTCGTCAGACAAAAAAAAATATTACACATGTATCTATATTGTTTTTTTATGAACTGGTTTTTGATGCAGAGTAGGGATAAGTTGTGTTATTAGTTAATTAACGGTTGATTTAACTTGTCTGTAAAAAACCAAACTTTTAGCTAGTTATCCAGGTCTTCACACAGTCCTTGGCAAATTGTTGACACAACGCTTGTCGATAAAGTGTCCTGTCGGTAAAATGGGTGTCTGTAAAGTGTCCGGGTCCAATATACTCATTTCAACGCCTTTTGTTTTTGTAACTCCGTTTTCATCAAATCGATCGAATCCCAGTGACTCATCCTTAATGTGATTGGTGCATATGAATAGAAGCAGCGTTTGCAGCAACCACCACAACCACAACCACAACCACGACTACCATTCTTATCACCATTGCTATCACTACTATTATTATCACCAGCGAAAACTTTGGTTGATTGTGGAAAGTACATAAAGTAATTTAATATTGTAAAAAAAACAACAGTTTTAACAAATTCTAATTGTCAATAATCTATCAACACATACATATTTTGAATCTTCCTCAGGGACAAATTGTCTTGCTGCCTTGGATAATGTCATCAATCTGAAAAAAAAATTTTTTTCCTAGTTATAGAGAGAAATAATTTATATGTGGAGCATTATATATTTTCCGAAATTATTAAATTATTCGTAGAGAATTATTATCATGCATGATTAACCATTTAGAGACGCTGTTTTCATTTAAGGTCAATTCCATATAGCAAACCTGACAATATCTTATATTTTATTTATCGACAATTAATTTACTAATAAATAAAAGATATTTTTTGTTACGAGCACGGAATAAAAATGATAAAATTGCATTATTTAAAAAACATTTGATTTCAAGAATCTTTTAATAATCTAAATGAAAAATGTTATCATTAAACATAATAAAATGGCGAAGGAAAATAATTGTTGACGTGATGAACTGACTACGAGCGTTGTAGTAGTAGCACCACTTGCGGCAGTAGGAGTTACAATAGGAGATGTAGTTGTAGTATTTTTGACAAGTTTGTTTGGATCGTCATCATCCTGGTTTTTCGGTTCAGTGGGTGTAGCTTTAGGTTTTTTATGATCTTTGGCTTTAATTATTTTACCAACTTTACCGGGATTTTGACCTGATGGTGGTGGATTTGGATCTTGTGGAGGAAATTTGCCTTTTGTATCAGTGATTGTAAATCGTGTTGTAAAAAAAATATTTTCACCGGATGAAAATTTTAAAAAATACCCTAGCAAATAAATATTTATATGTTAGAATGTGTATGTGAGCGTGTGAGGGCATATTATCAACATGCATATTTATCATCGTATATGCGTATGCGCAATGATTACTTACATTGACCGATTGGATCAACTTCAGGCACAATCCAATCTAATTTTTTTGCGGTTGCTGCAACAGTTCCAATAGTATCAAGTTTTACTTGGTTTAAATCACCACCAGTCATAAAACTTACTGTGACAGTTTTCAAATCTTTAAGTGGTGGTGCTACATTATCATCTTCTTTCCATTTTATGGTCACCTTTTATCGTTTAAGTTATAAATATAAATTGGTAGATGTGTGGTAGGTATTTTTATGTGGCGAAAATTTAATAAAAATAACAAACTATTATTTTTTTTGGTAAACAAAACCAAAAAAAAACTAATTACTTTGGATTTTGGCACGTAAACAGTTTTTCCTATAGGCTCAGTTGGAAATACTCCAGCGTTAATAACGTTTGCCAACATCAAGCATAAAAAGATTGTAAGGTGTAATTTTATCATTTTAGTTTATGAAAAAAGGAAAGGTAAAGAAGGAGGGAGGAAAGAAAATGACGCGAAAAACAAGCGAGAATAGGAATGAATGGATGTATGTATTAATTAAAGGAAAGAATTCGAATAATGAATGTATGAATATATTAATAATTAAAATAATCAGTAAAAGTGTGAAGGAGAAAATAATAAAATATAATAATATGCTGGCTGAATTCAATTTTCTTTTTAGAAAAAAAAATTTAAAATGTGTTACATTCGACTTTCTGGAAAAAGTAAACATGTCAAACGAAATTTTACAAAATGTTGTTCATATTTTGAACACTGTTATTATTGAACAGATGATTTAACAAATTTTTAATATTGGAATTTTTATAATTTATTTAAAATATATTTATATTTGCAAATTTGCTTGAAAATTAATTAATTAATATTTTCGACCATAATAATAGTCTAAAAATTGTTTTTTATCTTCTACACCCAAATTAGTTTTACGAAATCTACTTAATTGTCCCAACAAATTTATAATTTGGAATCCAACTTTATCTATTTCTTCGTCTTGTTTGTATTGTTGTTGTTTTAATATTGAAGAAGACGCTGATTGTGAGAGTGTCGATGATTCGTTAAAGTTGGGCGAAGATGGCGATTCTTCTGGATTTAAAAATCTGACTTTTAATGTATTTTTAAACTTGTAGAAATTATTATGTTCATTGTTATGTTAATTATTTTATGTTCATTATTATGTTAATTATTACTGCCGATCGACCCAAAGAAATTAATTGATTACCTCGCCACAAAGTCTTGCTAAATGCCAAAGTTTATTACCAACAGGAATAGTTGGTGAAAAATTATTATAATCATATCTTACTGAAATAATATGAATATTGATGATATTCTTTATCGATGGCAAAGTTAAATCTCTAAATATTGGAATAAATTTTAATAACGCTTTTCCATTCGATGTAGTTCCCTAACAACAACAAACAACATTACAAAATTTTAGCTTTTGAAAATTAAACAAATTAATAATAATGTATATATATTTTTGTAATTACTTCTGGAAAAATAACAATTGGTCTTTTTGAATTTTTAATATAATCATCATTGATCAGTCTTGAAAATTCAAGTGTTTTAATGCCTGAAGATGATGGTTCAAGTTCCGGATAAGAGCTTATCTGATTAATTGCTTTCCATAATGATATTGGCCGTAATTCATTGGTGGAAGAATAGATCTGGGTAAATATTGGATCGTATCTTTTGAAGAGTGTACAAAAAAATTTATTTTAAATTTTATTAAAAATTAAAATCAACAAGAAAATTTTTTTTACCTGAAAGTTAAATATAATAATTCAACATATGATGTGCTGTTGCAAATAATCACATCGATTGGTTGTCCCTCGTTCGATGTAGATTTCGATTTAGATTTAGGCAAATTTCCTCGACTAATAAATATTATAATTGAAATCTCAATCGATCATTCACCAATTAATTAATTAATTAATTAATTTTATTGTAAAACGAGACGGTTCCCAACCCTTTTTTTAATGATACGGTTTCCGAACTAATCCAATAAAATCCCATAAAGAAAAGTGCGAGGCGTACCAAGAGACAAGCGAATATAAAATGATAAATTCGATAAATCGGTTTGATCGGAATCTTTTTTATCAAAAAAAAAATATATCAATCAATCAATTCATCAATCAATCAATCAATCAATCAATCAATCGTTTAATTATTATAACACATACCAATATTAAACCAATAACATCTGCTAATAAAAAATATAGTAAAACAGTAACAAGGACTAATAGGATCTTTAATAGTCCAAAGATTGGTTTAATTATATATCCAAACAAAATTATAATTCTTGATGATATATCCAGTTCATCCCTAGATGGCTTTATTTTTTTGATTATAAAATGGAATTTATTTAAAAAATTAGGAATAAAATCTTTTTATAAATAAAAAAAGTTGGATAATAAATGAGTAAGGATAACTTACTACAAAGGGTAAAAATGGTGGAATCCCAGTTCCAGCATCCTACATGCACATATACACACATACACACATATATAAGTATACTATGATAACATTAATAATATTTATTCAAATAAATTTCAAAGATATTTCTTCTACCCTCCATCGAGAATACCTTTCCATTGTTTCAGACAAATTAAAATTTTCAAAAAATTTCACATCAGGAATTCTTATTGGTGGTTATCAAATTGAAGTAGTACGAGCGCGATTTTATTATCCCGGTCGATTAATTATTTAATAATAATAAATATTTTTTCTCGCCTAGTATTAGTAGAACCCTGGAGTTTGGCATTAATGTTGATTAACCAGTGTAGCGTTAACAACCAGTAGTAAGGTTTTTGCTTAGTAAAGAAGCAAATGTTTAATTTTGCTTAAGTTTTGTCAAGTGCAAACGTAAAGTATTAAAACTGTTCGGTAAAGTATAATCAAATATAAAGCCTGACATTTATTAACCAAAGTCGTTGTTATTTGTGTCAAAATAATTGTTGTAAAAGCGCGGCTATTAAAAGAAAAATGATTAAAGAGTAGTGTGAAGAGACCAATTTAACCAAGCTTGCTTTTAATCGGCCATAAAAAAGTAAAAGTAAATAAAAAAGGAGCTTTATAAATGCATTTGTCGCTTTCTAAAAGGACCACATTTGTCTATTGTAAATTGTGCCGTAAAGATTGTCGAAGCTTCTTGGGTACAAGAAAGAGACATTAAGCAAAAAATAATTTAATTGACGAATATAAAGCTTACATTCAATCGATGTACGTAAAACAATCAACATTAACCGAGAGCTACCTCGCAGCGGTAAGTGAAAATAAAGGCGATGAAATTCCTGATAAACAACACCAATTGAAAAGAATCAGGAGTTCAAATCGAGGCAGGATTTATAAACTTATTATTATTGCGCCCCGGGCGATTGATTGATTACTTTGTTTTTGAAACTAATTCATTATTTAAAGCCCCGAATCAACAGACCTGAAAATAATGAGGATGATAATATAAAGTTTTAACTGGACTTGAAATCAAATATTTAAATGAAACAAGGAAGAAATAGACTCTCAACCTGAAAACGCGACAAATATTCGCTATTTTTTGGTTATGAAATTTGTTTTGATTCCAGTCTAGCGCACTCGTTTATACCATATTCGATGTTGTTATTGTCGAGACACTGCATACAAAGAAATTCCTAAGGTTCCAAATGATCTGTTAAAGCACATCGGTTTACAACATTTAAGCATCTATAATAAAAAAAAATGCACAAAAATAAATGCTACCACAAAGTTATTTTACTTATTTTTTTTATATTATTATATTATTATTAAAAAGTCAAAATGTCCTCTGATAAGTTATTAACAACAGACAAAAGAGAATTAGTACATGAAATAGATAGTATTACTCTAACTGCTTTTCCAACTATTTCTAACTCTGACAATGAAAATAGAAAAGTCATTCTTTACAATTAATCAAAGAAAACCAAGAACTATTAGAAAACGAAAATGAAAATGAATATTGTGGAGAATTAAATAATGCAACTTATAAATGGGATGAATCAAGAGAATGCAATGAGTGTAAAATAACAAGATCCTCTACACTTTCAGAGCCTTTTCAGTACTTGGACGAGATAATTGATGATTTTATTCAAGGATGTCAACAGCTTTCACCTCTTCCAGATCAGGAAAGACTTTATTAATTGATTTTATTTATATAATTATTAATTTCAGGCATTGAATTATCGTAAAATTAATCCACCCTCAATTGTTATTATGCAATGGTGCTTAATTATCCGCAAGAGGAATTAATATTTTGAAGTATATCACTATATTCATTGTGATATAATGCTTGTTATATCACAGATTTGGGATTATGTGGAAAAATTATCAAATAAAATTTATGAAATTGGAATTGTGCCTTATATCGCATTAGAACTATTTAGAGGAAAAAAATACACAAAGAATCAGATGCTTATAGTGTTGGGATGTAAGTACATTCACCATTTGATAATTATCAGGAATTCCTGATGATGATTGTGCACAAATGATGAAAAGGTGTTGGGATGTGGATCCAGCAAAGAAACCAACTATCCTGGAGCCTTTGGAATTTTCTCATAATAAATAATAAATTTAAAATCGAGAGTACTAATGAAAGTAGTAGTAATATTGGGCGGTAATAATAACAGTAATAATAATAATAATAATAATAATAATAATAATAATAATAATAATAATAATAATAATAATAATAA